CTTACTTAAAATGTAATTAGATTAATTTCAGGAACTAAAATCACTGATTGCAGCATGACGAAAAGTCAGACGGCCTGCAATCAAAACTAATGCGCTGGCAAATTGCACCTTCATAGGAAGCAGAGCCATAGAGCTGCCACAGTGAGGGAGTCAGCTCATCATTACCATACCATACCAATAAGGAAATGTTCAGGTTAGATGTCGCCCTCTATGATCTATCTAGTTCTACGTATCTATGTAATATAATAGTCGATAGTCGAAAACGAGACGAAAATAAGTTGTCTTTTCAGAATGTTAAATTTACTTTGTTAATTGTTTTTTGTACGAATCATTTAATAATAAACAGTTTTTATTGTGGTTCTGCGTGGTTTGTCTGCATTAATATAAAACACATAGAGAGAGAGAAGATAAGATAAAATTAAAACTAATGGGTTATTGGCCCAGATTCTCCAGAGATTCCCCAGATATGCCCCGTATAAGCCACAATTAAATAAAAATAAGATCCCGAAGGACAGTCAAAATAAATCAAAATACTTGCAATAGAAATAATAACTAATTAAGATAAGAAAAAGTAAGAAAAGTAACATAACAATGGCTTGTGGAACCATAAGTACTGAAGAGATTGGAAACATCGAAAAACTTTGTGATATTTCATCATTTGATTTATGGAATTTCCAAATCACTGTGCTACTTAAAGCAAGTGGATTATATAAAATAGTAAGTGGTCAGGAGAAGCTTGAAAATTTAACCAAAGATGAAGATATAAATACATGGATTAAAAATGATGCAAAAGCACAGAGGAAATCAACAATAGACAAAAAAGGGTTAATGCATATTATGAATTGTAAAACAGCAGCTGATATGTATAGAAAACTGTGTGCAATATATAAGAAAGATAATGAACAACAAAAGTGTAATTTATTACAAGAATTCTTTAACTTTACATTCGAGAAAGGTAATGACATGTCTCTCCATATCAGGAAATTAGAAAACTTAGCATATAGACTAAAAATTTTTGAACAAGACATCAATGACGATATGTTAATATCAAAAATACTAAGTACTCTTCCAGAGAGATATAGACACTTTCGAACAGCTTGGGAATCTGCACCAAAAGAAGAAAGAACATTAACAAATCTAACAGCCAGATTAATAGCCGAAGAAGGCATGAATAAAAATAAAGAAAGTATTGATCCAAATGTTGCTTTTAACAGTACTGAAAAAGTCTGTTATAAATGCTCTAAAAAGGGACATATTGCTCGTTTTTGTCAAAGTAAAGACAATAGTCATGACAGAGAGATAAAATGTTTTCATTGTGGTAAAACAGGACATCTAATGAAGGATTGTAAAAAGAAAAGTGACACAGAAAAAAGATTAGAAAATACAAATATATGTAAAATTTGCAAAAAGACCAATCATACAAAAAGTAGCTGTTATTTCAGAACAAAACAAGCAGAGAATAGTTCAAAAAACAATGAAAAGAAAGTATCATTTTTAACTGAAAAAAAAACAGTATCTGCTGACAAGAATGTATTTGTTATAGACTCCGGGTGTACTTCTCATATGGTAAATGACATTGACTTATTTAAAACTATTGAAAAGAAACATATAGATATTTGTGTAGCTAAGAAAAACACTGAAATAAAAGCCAAAGGTGTAGGTATTATAGAAAATGAAACATTTATATTAAATGGAGTTTTATACGTACCAGAATTAAGTAAAAACCTACTGTCAGTGAATGCTATAACTGAAAATCAAGGAGAGGTTATTTTTAGTGAAGACAAAGTATCTATAATGAAAAACAAAACTAAAGTTTTAGAAGGAACTAAAACTGAAAAGGGACTCTAAATGGAGAATATCAAGAAACAAGTTATTTAGCAGAAACCAAAGAAGAAAAAGTAATAAACTGGCATCGAAAATTAGGTCATTTAAACATAAATAGCATGAAAAAATTGATCAAAGAAAAAATGACTATAGGAATAGACATAAATGAAAACATAAGCGATTATTTTGAAATGCCTTGTGAGATATGTTTACAAGCTAAACAAGTGAGATTTCCATTTGACAGTGAAAGAACCAAAGCTAAAAGACCATTAGAGCTTATACATACTGATTTGCGTGGTCCAATAGAACCAAACACCTGGGATGGCAAAAATTATATATTAACAATACTTGATAACTATACACACTATACAGTAAGCTACCTATTAAAACATAAAAATGAAGTGCCAGACTATCTAAAGGAATATATAGCAGAAATGGAAGCAAACAAGAATTTAAAGGTGTCAAAAATTCGCAGTGATAATGGAGGTGAATATATAAATAACGATCTAATAATTTTCTGTAAAAAGAAAGGGATAGTAATGGACACAACAATACCTCATACACCACAATTAAATGGAAAAGCAGAGAGATTAAACCGAACTTTAATGGAAAAGGCTAGAGCTTTGATTTTTGATGCAAAAATAACAAAATCCTTTTGGGGAGAAGCCGTCAGAGTGGCAACGTATATTCTGAATCGAAGCCCAACACAATCATTAGGAAATAAAACACCTTTTGAGATGTGGACAGAAAAGGTGAGATGTGGCAAGAAATCTGATTTGTCAAGAATGCAAATATTTGGCAGTGAAGCTTAAAGCTTATACTTAAAGAAATTAGATGAAAGAAGTGAAAAATATTTATTTATTGGATATGCAATAAACGGATACAGGTTGTGGGATGAAGAAAAGAAAGAGGTAAAAATTCGAAGAGATGTAATATTTAAAAAACCGAAAGATGAAAATATGAAGTTGGTGAAGAAAAAAATGAGTGAGGACTTGTTGCAGGATCAAGAACTGGAAAATATAGAGAATGAGACAGAGGAGGATAAGAAGGAAAAGAAATTAAAAATCAAATGAAATTCAACAAGAAAATGAAATCGAATACATCTATGAACAATCTAGTAGTGATGAAGAAGAGAGGTTAGACTTAGGAGAAGGGCAAAGATCAGAACAAGTTCACTATCAAACCAGAAGAGGAAGAAAAGTAAAAATACCAGAAAGACTCAAAGAATATGAACTAAATATGGAAGATGAAGCACTACTAACATATCAAGAAGCAATCACAGGATCAGACAAAGAGCAATGGGTAAAAGCAATAAATGAAGAAAAAGAATCACTCAACAAAAACCAGACATGGACATATGTTGACAGAAATGCAGTTAAAGACAGGAAAATTTTGACAAGTAAATGGGTATTTCGTATAAAAGATGATCAAAAATATAAAGCTAGACTAGTAATTAAAGGTTGTCAACAGAAAAGTGGTATAGATTACAAGGAAACTTTTAGTCCAGTTGTAAATATCAGTTCACTTAGAATCTTATTTGCATTAGCGGTGAAAAATGACATGACAATCGTTAAATTTGATATCAAAACAGCTTTTCTTTATGGCAGTTTGTCAGAAGATATTTTTATGTACATTCCTGAAAGTTATGAAAATGACAATAATAAAACCAAAATCTGTCATTTAAAGAAGTCGTTGTATGGACTAAAACAAGCTCCATTAAAATGGAATGAAAGGTTTACTGGATTTTTAAAATCTAATGACTTAATTCCCTTGAAAAGTGATCAGTGTATGTTTAGAAATAAAGAACGTAACTTATATTTAGCTATCTATGTAGATGATGGTATCTTAATTGCAAAAAGTGAAAATGAACTTAACAATTTAATAATAAATTTAAAAGAAGAATTTGAAATAATCGTGTGTGAAAATCCAGACAAGTTTTTAGGAATTGAAATTAAAAGACAGTCCGACATGATAACTTTAAACCAAGATAAGTTTGTTCAGACAACACTGGAAAAATTTAACATGAAAAATTCAAAACCTGCAGTTACACCCATGGTTTCTAATGATATTGATCCAAAAGCATCAAATACAGAAGTAAATTACCCCTACAGAGAAGCAGTTGGAAGCCTGCTATACCTAACAAATAAAACAAGACATAATATAAAACCCAACAATTCTCTCGATGTTTTTCGTAAAAAATTAGACGACGCGTCTCATCAATAAAAAATCGACAAATTGGCAAGTAGCCAATAAAATTAGTGGGCGGAGCGATTTGCGGTGACGTACTCGTCAAGTCGACGTATAAAATATATTGCTGTTTATTTAAATGTTTTTTGTCCGCATTCCTTTCATAGACACAGATCCAGCAGACGAACTGTAACATATCCATTCGTTCCGCCAGCAGATACTACTTTATTTTTCTTGATAAAATTATGAATACTTACTTATTAAACTATTGTAGATAAGTTTAAGTAAACTGTTATAAATCAAAATAATAATGTCCATAAACTAACGTCGATTTTGAAAAGAGTTACTAACTTTAACTAGAAAATTGCCATGGCGACACCAGCCATCTTGATTGCCATTTTATTGAAAAATCGTTTTTTATTCAAAATCTGAGCGGGATAGGTATAGGAAACCCTAATATAGTTTGAAAGAGCATTTGAATCTGCTTCGATTTATTTTAAAAAATACAGGGTGTTGTATTTGAAATAACGAAAGTTTTTATGTAAAATAAATATTTAAAATAGACCAGCAATTTTTGATACCCCTGTATACATTAAACGAAGCAATCATATTTTTCAGTAAAGTTTATTCCTGTGCTGACTTTTAGCACAGGAATTAGTTCTGAACGGCAATGTACAGGGTGTTAATAATCTATTCTAATGTAGCATGCATTTTTAAATATTCTTAAATATCTCAAAAACCAAAGATTTTAAACATATTTGTTTTATATTAACATAATTATCAAAAAGAAAAAAAAATCAATAAATCAATTATACAAGAAATTAAATAGCGTCACCTCAAAAATTAATTAATGGACTCACCCCACAAACATTGCTTCTCCTCCAGCCGGCCGGCTTCAATGATGCCTTGATAACACACACAATTACACGGTTTTTAGGAAATAAATCAAAGCGTGGTACCACTTCGGTTGATCGAGAGCGAGTCACTCATCACACTTCCGCTGATCCCTCGCGGGATGGGGCATGCGCCTTTCTATCTAAATGTGAGGCAGTACCGCAGACACCAAAATTAAATTCCACTACATTTAAATTTTGACAATATCAAACATTCCGCCCACCAAAACAAAATATAATATATTTTATTTTACTTAAAAAAAATAAAGAAAATTTAAATATTTGTACATCTTTGTACATCAAATACCCCATAAAATGAATTGAATTCTCTTGGACTTTACACACATAAAATAATTGAAATAGTAGGTTTATTGATCGGGCAGAGGGCACACTATCGAAAAAGCCCTTAGTCGTTTGAATTTGCGCCACACGTACAACCTGATCTGTACCTGGATATAATTTAGTAATTCGATCGAGTAGCCAACGCAAAGGGGGTAGATTTTCGTCCTTTACTACTACTAATGTGGTAATTCTAGGCGAATTCTGTACGCTGTTCCATTTAGCTCTCTGCTGAAGTGTATGAAGATACTCTACATGCCATCTTTTCCAAAAATGTTGCTGAAGTTGCTGAACTAATTGCCAACGATTTAAGCGGTTTTGAGTCACATCGAGTAAATTTTCATCAGGAGGGGCTGTAAGTGGCTCAAGAGTCAAAAAATGTCCTGGAGTTAAAATGCCAAGATCGTTTGGATCTGGACTAGAACTACACAACGGCCTCGAATTGAGCAATGCCTCGATTTGAGCTAACAGCGTTGTAAGCTCCTCAAATGTTAAAATTTGACAGCCTATAACACGATACAAATGAGTCTTTACAGATTTAACAGCACTCTCCCACAAGCCACCAAAATGAGGAGCAGAGGGAGGGTTAAAATGCCATTTAATAGACAATGTCTCAGAAGACTGTTTAGAGTAGGATAGTAGAAGATTATAAGCTCCGATAAAATTTGTACCACGGTCACTGTACATATCTGTACATCTTCCACGCCTAGCTACAAACCTACGAAAAGATGCCAGAAAAGCTTCAGAGGAAAGATCCGAAACTGCCTCAAGATGGACAGCTTTCGTACTCATACAAACAAACACGCATATGTAAGCTTTCTGACTACGCACACCACGATGTCTTCCTAACACTATCGACAAGGGTCCAGCAAAATCTGTACAAAATTTCATACTCCTAGATCTAACATTTTTTGTACAAAATTTCACCCCCCAGTTTCACTACCCTTAGGCTATACATTTCCAAAAATCGCTATCAATGTTCAAATGCGCCACATCTGTGCAAAAGTTCATACTCCTAGTAGGTACAGATTTTTTTTGTATAATTACACCCCTTTATCTAATTACACCCCCTTATGGGTTGAATTTTAAAAAATTACGTAGTAGTGCTCATCTTAGAGAACGAATTAATATTCTCCGTATTCACTCCAGTTTCCTAATACTAGCACAGATAATACATAATCATACTATAGTTAATTTTTTATTGGAATAGAAGTAATTTTTATTAGAAGGTACAAAAAAATTAAAAATCTAAAATTTTATTTTCATAGCTACGTTTTTATAGCCTTAGTACTAACGAATACGAAATATATAATCAATACATATTTCTTTAAATATTGTTGCGGACCCGTACCGTGTGAACTCGGCTTTAGGCTTAGCCACTCGGCTATGACTCATACGCCCACCGACGTTCGAAGAACGACGCTAAGAATTTTCGAGATATGTCTGGACTGTCTGTTTCTCTCATATATAAGCCGATGCCCGAAACCTGAAGGGGATAGAGATAAATAACCGATCGACGCGTACAGTTACAATCGCCGCGCTAATTCAAAATAAATTTCTGTTAGATAAATAATTAGATAAATTGTAAATAAGTTATAAATAGTTCTTTAAGTTATAAATAGTTCTTTCGTTATTGTTTGTAAATTAGTGTTAAATAAATTGTGTTTAAATAAATTGTGACTTTCTATCCACACGGAACCGACGAAAAACGTAACAATATCGAGAAATAAAATATGTTTGGCAACACCGTACGAAATATGGCCGCGCGTACTCCTCAAAATTTAAAATAGCATTTTCAGGCTTCGATTATGTTCAAAAGCGCCACCGTGTGACAAATCACTAAAGCTTCCACACGAGAGTTCTTAAAACTATAATATTCTTTGCTAGAAGGTAAAGCATCCCATTCCGACCCCTGAAGCCACAATTTCTGTATTAGACACTTGGCAACCAATATCGTGGGGGCCAAAAATCCCAACGGATCATATATTTTCGCAATTTCGGATAATATATTACGCTTCGTACACTCTTTACTTACAGGTTTCACATAATACCTATTTTACTAAACAATTCATATACAGGGTGACAATTTGAAAACGAACAGTATTTAATATTACCTCTACCGATGATAGCATGAAAATTTGAGGCATTGTCGTGTTACTTTCAACCTTTTGACCTCCTAAAATTTTAAATGCCAACCCCTATTTCTTTTACCATTTTTGTGTTCCTTATAAAATTCTCAAAAAAATAATGAAGTTTATGTAGAATTCCATAAGAAACACAAAAATGGTAAAAGAAATAGGGGTTGCTATTTAAAATTTTAGGGGTAGGTGCACTGGGGGTCAAGGGTTTGAAAGTAACACGACAACAAATGCCTCAAAAATTGTCCCCCTTGTATATAATATGTAAATCGGCTTGTTTTGCCAAATTTTCATAGGGTAAGTCCGGTACAGATGCCCCACCGGGTGAGATGGCCACAGCGTGTAAATTTCTAATCATGTGACTTATCAGTTGCTTCCCGCTAGATACGGCAGTAGTTCACCTGCTGCTATTATGGTCTGATATAATTTGAATGTCAATAAAAAAATAGGCTAGTTTTTACAAAGAACTGTTTTTATATATAAGTACATATTTTTTTCTGTCAGAGGTCGCATGGGAATAATGTAATATTATGTAAGTTTTTAGTATTTCATGCCATTTTATAGTAAAATACATGCTTGGTGAAGTATCATAACTTCAAAAAATTAATCATATGTCGCTGCATTTTAAAACCTTGCGGTGGGGCATCTCTCCCATCGTATTGGGAGAGATGCCACATAGAAAGCTGATAAAGATGCCCTACTAATTTATTTACTAAAAAGTAACTTTTTTTAATCATGCCTACTGAATATAAAATAAAATGTCCCGAAAGCACTCAGTGGTTTGAAAAATCATTGGCTGCTGCTTTGCAAGACATCAATACCGACCAAATGGGCATAAAAGCATAATGCATGCTTTTGGAATCTCTGCAAGGACTTTGAGACGTAGGGAGGCAAACAACAATACAGAAAAAGCAAGCATAGAGCTATCCTCAACTTTTGGATATTAGTTAAAAAAATAAAAAATAACATTAGATATTTACCATATGTATATGTATTTTTTTGCGGGGCATTTCTCCCATGTTGGAAGGTCATCTCTCCCGCAACGTAGGGAGAGATGGCCAATTTTCTTTTTTTTATTGTTCTCTTACTATTATATATACTTACTTATTATATTACTATCTTAGTCCTATTATGAATTATTATTAAAGATAGTTTAGGATAGCATCATTAGTTTCATTTAAAATTAACTACCAATATGTATTATTAGCCCCAAAAGAAAAGTGGGGCATCTCTACCAGACTTACCCTACTATCATCGGTAGAGGCAAGATTAAATACTGTTCGTTTTCAAATTGTCACCCTGTATAAGACAATCTAATTTTTCATAATAAACAAGATTTGGCGGTAACAGTGTAAATAGTAAAAAAGCAATTTTTGCAACAAGTAACTAAAATCAATTTTCTTGGGATGAATTGTTTGTCATCCCCAGATGAGAGCTAGGCGTATCTAGATTATAAAACAGAACCGTTACAAAAAAGGCCCTAAAATATCTCATTTACGGGCTCAAATGAACTAGTAAAATTCTTATTTCTGTAGGGGAGATATGCTAAAATTCTACTTACTAAATTTTTTAGTTTTGGTTTGTGATCTTTTTTAACTTCTTCCCATCTGCAAAATTTGAAGATATTGTTACGGATTCCGTGGGTCCACTAATTTAAACTCACGATAAAATACTTAACGAATTTATTTTCTCACTTTATACACAATTACTAACTTATAACACACAACAAACTAACTATTTATAAGATTCCTTCACCAAATTGTCCGATTTTCAATTTCCACGCGGTATATTCAAATTTCAAAAACTGTCTCAGTTGTCGATGGCTCCGGCTTATATACTCTATTGACTGCTTCTCGAAATTTCCCCAATTCTCGGAAAGCGTACTTCTTCATACCAGACAATTCCATTGTCTGATTCCTTACTTCTCGACTTGACTAAAAGATGGCGCCTGAAAAAGTCTTTTAATTTCTGGCGTTGCGGTTGTGCACGCAACCAGTAATACATTTTAATTTCTGGCGGATACGCCATTTTTTCTTGACACATTGCGGTTGTGCAGGCAACCAGTAATACATTCTAGCCCTTGACCTTGACATTGCCCCCTTCTCAAATTTGATCGTCCCGATCAAGGTTTCCTGTCAGGTATCTCTTCAATCGATCTAGATGAACTACTTTCATCTTACTTCTAGGGCTGCGTTGAATCCGGTACACAACATCATTTATCCTCTTGATTACTGTATAAGGACCTTCCCATGCTGGAGTTAACTTTGGGGACCTCCCTTTCTTGCGCTGTGGGTTATATAACCATACCATATCGTCCTGTTGAAATCCCGTAGAATTAGCTCTGAGGTCGTAACGAGCTTTCATCCGGTCACTGGCTAGCGTAATCTTACTTCTCACGGCCTTATGAATTCCCAATAACCTTTCCTTCAGTTCATCCGCGTAGTCCTCTACGTTCGTGGTGCTGTCGTCTGGTGATCCGAACACCAAGTCACAAGGCAACCGTAATTCTCGACCAAATAAAATCTTCGATGGTGAAAGTCCGGTGGTGTTGTGAACTGCACTTCTATATGCCATTAGGAATAGTGGTATATGCTGATCCCAATCTCTTTGATGTTCATCCACCATTTTCGAGAGATGTTCTTCAATGGTCTTATTGAATCTCTCGACCATCCCATCAGACTGCGGATGTAAAGCTGTTGTCCTAGTCTTGTGAATACCAAGCAGATCACACATCTTCTGGAACAGTCTTGACTCGAAGTTCCTTCCTTGGTCAGTGTGAAGCTCTAAAGGAATTCCAAATCTACTGAAGACATTATGACTAATACTTCAGCTACAGTCGATGCTTCTTGGTTTGGAATGGCAAAAACTTCTGGCCATTTACTGAAATAATCCATCGCCACTAAAACGTACTTGTTGCCCTTGTGCGTTTCAGGGAATGGGCCTGCAATGTCAACAGCGATTCTTTCGAATGGCAGTCCAACGTTATATTGTTTCATTTTTCCCCTAGATCGAGTGCTTGGTCCTTGGCTGGCTGCACAAATTTTACATTGTCGACACCATTTCTTGACATCTTCGCAATAATCCACCCAGTAAAAGCGATCTCTCAGCTTGCTCAAGGTCTTGTTTACCCCAAGATGGGCTCCAGTTTTACCACCGTGAATTTCTTCCAATACCTGGGTAACTTTCTTCCTTGGTACCAGTAACTGAGTTGTTACTGTGCTGCCATCCGCACTTTCCCATGTGCGCTTTAACAATCCATTCTCAATAACCAGTGAATTCCACTGAGCCCAGAGAGCTTTGAAAACGAGCCCTCTGTCCGCAATATCCTGCCACGGTGGTCTCTCGCCGTTACCTTCCTTGAGCCGTAGTATTGCTCCGATGTCTGGATCTTCCATTTGATCTTTCCTCAATTGTGTCGTCGTCCACTGTTCATCGGTTCCAAGTTTAAAACTCCTTATCATGACAGTGCCTTCACGTTGTTCCGTTTTACAGCAGTGCTTACAATCGGTTTGACAGGGTCTTCTGGATAAACCGTCTGCGTTACCATGCATTTTTCCAGCACGATGTTGGATGGTAAAGTGATACTGTTGGAGCTTCTCGAGCCATCGTGCTATTTGACCTTCAGGTTGTTTCATCTCCATAAGCCACTTGAGAGCCGCATGATCTGTCCTAATTAAAAATTCTTGGCCGTACAGATATTTATGAAAATGATCAACTGCCTTCACAATTGCTAGCAGCTCCTTCCGGGTAACG